TTCAGAAAGGTCACTTTTGAAGTGTTTTCTTGTACTTTTAAGCCAATCAGATACCCTACGGGCTCGGAAAGTGCAACGAAACCATCAAATTTTAGCTAGAAACTGTATTTTTGTCGATTTTTATTGAATTTGAACTATATTTCAACGTTTTTTGATGGTTCTGAGCCACCAAACACACTTAAAGCATGCAGAATCGACTCAGAATAGGAAAAGGAGACGTTTAGGTCAATTTTATGCATTCTGGCGTTCGTAGATACAAGAAAACTGTTAAAATTCTTCAGGAACGTCACTTTTGAAGTGTTTTCTTGTACTTTTAAGCCAATCAGATACCCTACGGGCTCGGAAAGTGCAACGAAACCATCAAATTTTAGCTAGAAACTGTATTTTTGTCGATTTTTATTGAATTTGAACTATATTTCAATGTTTTTTGATGGTTCTGAGCCACCAAACACACTTAAAGCATGCAGAATCGACTCAGAATAGGAAAAGGAGACGTTTAGGTCAATTTTATGCATTCTGGCGTTCGTAGATACAAGAAAACTGTTAAAATTCTTCAGAAACGTCACTTTTGAAATGTTTTCTTGTACTTTTAAGCCAATCAGATACCCAACGGGCTCGGAAAGTGCAACGAAACCATCAAATTTTAGCTAGAAACTGTATTTTTGTCGATTTTTATTGAATTTGAACTATATTTCAACGTTTTTTGATGGTTCTGAGCCACCAAACACACTTAAAGCATGCAGAATCGACTCAGAATAGGAAAAGGAGACGTTTAGGTCAATTTTATGCATTCTGGCGTTCGTAGATACAAGTAAAATGGTAAAATTCTTCAGAAACGTCACTTTTGAAGTGTTTTCTTGTACTTTTAAGCCAATCAGATACCCTACGGGCTCGGAAAGTGCAACGAAACCATCAAATTTTAGCTAGAAACTGTATTTTTGTCGATTTTTATTGAATTTGAACTATATTTCAACGTTTTTTGATGGTTCTGAGCCACCAAACACACTTAAAGCATGCAGAATCGACTCAGAATAGGAAAAGGAGACGTTTAGGTCAATTTTATGCATTCTGGCGTTCGTAGATACAAGAAAACTGTTAAAATTCTTCAGAAACGTCACTTTTGAAGTGTTTTCTTGTACTTTTAAGCCAATCAGATACCCAACGGGCTCGGAAAGTGCAACGAAACCATCAAATTTTAGCTAGAAACTGTATTTTTGTCGGTTTTTATTGAATTTGAACTATATTTCAACGTTTTTTGATGGTTCTGAGCCACCAAACACACTTAAAGCATGCAGAATCGACTCAGAATAGGAAAAGGAGACGTTTAGGTCAATTTTATGCATTCTGGCGTTCGTAGATATAAGAAAACTGTTAAAATTCTTCAGAAACGTCACTTTTGAAGTGTTTTCTTGTACTTTTAAGCCAATCAGATACCCTACGGGCTCGGAAAGTGCAACGAAACCATCAAATTTTAGCTAGAAACTGTATTTTTGTCGATTTTTATTGAATTTGAACTATATTTCAACGTTTTTTGATGGTTCTGAGCCACCAAACACACTTAAAGCATGCAGAATCGACTCAGAATAGGAAAAGGAGACGTTTAGGTCAATTTTATGCATTCTGGCGTTCGTAGATACAAGAAAACTGTTAAAATTCTTCAGAAACGTCACTTTTGAAGTGTTTTCTTGTACTTTTAAGCCAATCAGATACCCTACGGGCTCGGAAAGTGCAACGAAACCATCAAATTTTAGCTAGAAACTGTATTTTTGTCGATTTTTATTGAATTTGAACTATATTTCAACGTTTTTTGATGGTTCTGAGCCACCAAACACACTTAAAGCATGCAGAATCGACTCAGAATAGGAAAAGGAGACGTTTAGGTCAATTTTATGCATTCTGGCGTTCGTAGATACAAGAAAACTGTTAAAATTCTTCAGAAACGTCACTTTTGAAGTGTTTTCTTGTACTTTTAAGCCAATCAGATACCCTACGGGCTCGGAAAGTGCAACGAAACCATCAAATTTTAGCTAGAAACTGTATTTTTGTCGATTTTTATTGAATTTGAACTATATTTCAACGTTTTTTGATGGTTCTGAGCCACCAAACACACTTAAAGCATACAGAATCGACTCAGAATAGGAAAAGGAGACGTTTAGGTCAATTTTATGCATTCTGGCGTTCGTAGATACAAGAAAACTGTTAAAATTCTTCAGAAACGTCACTTTTGAAGTGTTTTCTTGTACTTTTAAGCCAATCAGATACCCTACGGGCTCGGAAAGTGCAACGAAACCATCAAATTTTAGCTAGAAACTGTATTTTTGTCGATTTTTATTGAATTTGAACTATATTTCAACGTTTTTTGATGGTTCTGAGCCACCAAACACACTTAAAGCATGCAGAATCGACTCAGAATAGGAAAAGGAGACGTTTAGTAATAATAATAATAATAATAATAATAATAATGATATATTTGCCCAACAGAATAATATCCAATTATAGGACAAAATAAATAAATTAAATGACATGTAAGCATAACGATATGTAGACTAAACTTAAAATTAACTTAGAAAATAAAAAAAATAATACAAATATATAACTTAGACGTAATTCAGATTTCACATTTCAATTGCTCGCCGCACAAGACTTCGGTGAACTACAAATCTGGATGAATAAACTAATAATAAATAATAAAAAGAAAAAATAATAATAATTAAATAATTAAATAAATCAAATAAATTAAATAAATTCAGCCGTGTTTACTACTTCACATTTTATACCAGACCTTATTCTTATTTAAATATTGATTTCGCACAATTTATTAATTCAGTGTAGTTACACTGGACAATGTCACATGATTCGTCTAACTCATTCGCTAATTTCATCATTTTGTACGCAGGGGAGTTTATTAAAACATTGGTTTTGGCTCTTGGACATAAGAACATATTATGATATCTTGACTGAATTCTTGGAACAAAAAATATAATGTGAGATAACAGTTCAGCACAGTCAACATTCCCATGTAAAATTTTAAATAGGAATTTAACAGCAGATATTTTCCGACGATTTTCCAATGTTGACATATTATTGTGAATTAATAGCTTTGCTTGATCAAATCCTCTGCTGGGGAATCTACCAAATTTTACATTATACATATATTAACTTTGTGAATTCAAGATCTGCACCTGCTTGCATCAGCAATGAAAATATCATCGACTCCATATTGTTTGATTTTACTCATATTTCGATTGATGAAGTGCAGATGGCTCTTAAATCCTTAAAATCCAAATTTACATCGGGCCCGGATGATGTGCCGTCGTTCTTGTTGAAAGATTGTGCTTGTGTGTTGGCGAAGCCACTAGGTGTTATTTTCAATTTGATTTTAAATTTTGGTCATGTTCCTAAGATTTGGAAACTATCTAAGGTGGTCCCAGTTTTTAAGGGAGGGGATAAATCTAATGTGAGTAACTATAGGCCGATCTCTCTTCTTAGTAATTTTGCCAAAGTTTTTGAAATTGTCGTCCATTCCCGGTTAAATCAGTATATTAAAAATAAAATATCATTCAGTCAGCATGGATTTAGAAGTGGAAGGTCCACAGTCACTAATTTGGTCACGTTAACGCAAAATATACGAGGTGTGTTGGATGGCAGGGGACAAATGGATGTGATTTTCTTAGATTTCAATAAAGCGTTCGACAAGCTGGATCATGACTTGCTAATCTTGAAGTTGGAGAAATTATATGGGTTTTCTCCAAAATTGTTAAAAATGTTTACCTCTTATTTACAAGACAGATATCAGTTTGTTGACTATTTTGGATACAGATCGACCAATGTTTGGCAGAGCTCTGGTGTTCCTCAAGGCTCGGTTTTGGGGCCGCTGCTTTTTGCATTGTTCGTCGATGATATCACTAAAATTATCGGAGACAACTGCTTAGTATATGCTGATGACGTAAAGGTTTTTTCAAAAATCGGAAATATTGCCGATTCTATCAAATTACAGGAAGTTTTGGATAGAATTGTACTATGGTGTATAAATAATCGATTATTTTTAAATCCTGCTAAATCCAAAGTGATGTCTTTCACAAAAATTAAAAATGCAATGATTCATTGTTACACTATTTGCGGTCATGTAATAAATCGACCTGAATACATTAAAGATTTAGGAGTCACTTTGGACAGCCAGCTAAATTTTGTCAAACATGTTGAATTGGTGGTATCAGCGGCTTACAAAAGTTTGGGGTTTGTGGTCCGTAATACTAAGTGTTTTCGTAACTCAAGTACATTCATTAATTTATATTATGCATTTGTAAGATCGAAGCTTGAATATGCTAGTGTTGTGTGGAATCCATCATTTAAGTATTTAACTGAATCTATCGAAAAAGTTCAGAGACGGTTCTTGAAATATCTGGTGTTTCGGATTGATGGCATATATCCCATAAGAAACATTCCTCAAAAATTATTGTTGAGTAGATTTTCCATATTAAGTTTAGAGTGCCGAAGAATTATAAACTTAGTAATGTTTTTACATTCCCTAGTAAACAACAGATTGGATGCTCCAAGTTTACTTGAACAAGTGTGTTATTGGGCTCGACCACGTAGTTTGCGAGACAAAAGCATCTTTTATATAAAAAAATCAAGGACGAATATTTTGAAGTTCTCGCCTATATATATGATGCAAATGTATTTTGATAAGTTCAATGCCGATGTAAATATTGATATTCACGTGGTCAGTGGCCAAGTACTTAGAAAGCATCTAACAAATTATTTTTTAAACAAAAACGGCATTGATATTGGTAGTGGTGTCTGATCATCTTCTTGAGAATGAGATTGGTTTTCTACTGGTTAAAACATTAAATTTTTCAGCAGTTTACTACATATTTTTTTTTTTTTTTTACTCTCTGTTTAAATGAATAATTTATTTATGTTTTTTTTTTTTTTTGGTATTTCTTGGTTTAAGCTTCGTAATTGGGTTGCGACCTGTGGAGCTTATATGATAATAATAATTATATATGATAATAATATTTAAGACACCGCCGTTGAACCTTTTCTAAACTGATACTTTGATTTGCGTAATTCGTGGACCATATTAATGAGCAATATTCTAATTTAGTTCTAATAAAGGCTTGAAATAGTGTTTTAATTGCATCAGCATTATTGAAACATGCACACGTTCTTACTATAAATCCTAGTGTTTTGAAACTGCTTTGGGTGATTGTTTCTATATGATCAATAAATGTTAAACATTTATCAAATTGAACTCCCAAGTCTTTCACCGAATCTGCTCTCTCTATAATATGATCAGATATGGAGTAGTCATACAAAAACTTACTTTTCTTACGGGAATAAGACACTATCTTACATTTACGCAGGTTAAGTTCTAGACCATTAGCATTACAACGTTCCGCGATATTTAACAAATCTCTTTGTAACGTTAAACAATCGTTTATAGAATCAATTGTGCTAAATATTTTGATGTCGTCAGCGTATGATAAAGTTTTATTACCGATATGATTCGTTATGTCATTCACATATAGAAGGAAGAGCAAGGGACCTAATACCGAACCTTGGGGTACACCAGTTGGTTGATGAAAAAGCTTGGAGTTGAAACCATTGTAACATACAACTTGTTGTCTATTAAATAAATATGATTCAAAAAATTTGATGATGTTTTCACTGAAACCATAATAAGAGAGCTTGGAAATTAGTCTAGAGTGAAGTATCCTATCAAAGGCCTTGCTTATATCTAAGTATACACAATCAACTTGATGGCGTGTGTCTAATTTATCTGCAACATATTGACTAAAACACGATAAGTTGGTCAACGTTGAGCGTCCTGGATAAAAGCCATGTTGGTTGCTTACTATTATGGACTTTAACAAAGGAAATAACATATTATGTAAAACAATTTCAAAAACCTTCGAAAAAACAGACATCAGTGATATAGGTCTATAGTTTTTTATACATGTGTTGTCTCCAGATTTCAAAATAGGACTTATTTTAACAAGTTTCCATTCATCTGGAAAAGTACAAGTTCGTAACGATAATTTGAAAATATACGTTAGCGGACCAGCAAACACCGCCTTACAGTCTTTTACAACAAAACAGGGAATTTGGTCCAAACCTGAAGATACCTTTGGTTTTATTTGTGTTAGTGCTTTTTCAACGTCTGTAATTGTAATATAGTCTATATTTATTAGGGGATATATTAAATTATTGCTGTCAGAGATACTGTCTTCTTTTACTTGAACACTTTTGTCGTCACTTATGTATACACTTTGAAAATAAGATGCAAATCCTTCAACAATGTCTAATGGATTGCTTAAATTTTCATTATTGTAGGTGAGTATCCCAGGAATTCTAGTTTGTCTTTTTCTCATGCGTACATATTGCCAAAAATATTGAGGTTCATTACGTAATCTGTCACTAACATCGTCAGTATATTTTCCAAAATCGCGGGTTATTTGTGATTTAACAAGTCGGCGTATTGTATTAAATTTAATTTGGTCATTAGGATGTTTGAATTTTTTAAATATTTTGCGATATTTGTTTTTGAGAGCAATATTCCGTCTCAATTCAGGTGTATACCAGCTCGGAAATTTATGCTTCTTCCCCGTAAACCTTGGTACACATACATCAAATATGGAGTATACTTTCTCATAAAATGCCTTACATGCTAGGTTAACGTCAGTAAATTCATTTAGAAAAGACCAGTCACAATCAGACAGACGAGAGTAAAGTAGGTTAAAATTAGCTTTGTGGAAGTTATATGACCTAGAAATATTGGACGAAGGGAAATTATTGAAGTGTTCTTTTCTGAATGAAATCGAGATTCCAACAGATGGATGATGTAAATCCTCTTGCACTATGGGATTTGTATCTCTATAAACATCACATTTTAACATATTACTTAAGACTAAATCTAACATGACATTTTGAGTATTTCTAACTGTATTAAGTTGCTGTAAATTAATAAAGTTAACGAAGTTAGTATAATAAGAACAATGTGTAGTAGATGCCGTTGTTTCAAAATCAGAACAATTAAAATCTCCCACAATTAAAATATTTTCTAGCTGAGAACACAATTGGCTGAAATTATCGAAAAAAATTTCGTAACTATTAACATTTGTTTTTGGAGGAATGTACACGCAAAAAACATGACACCTGACATTGTTAAAAATTATTTTACAACCTATGATGTCTATAAATGGCGTGTCTTTTACTGCCGCTGATGTATCTAATAATATGCTATTAAGTTTGTTATTTATTGCTAACAAAACACCTCCACCACGTGTTTTTCCAGTTTCAATGAAATTTCGATCTGATCGGAAAACAAGCATGCAATGTGAAAAAAGTTCAGAACTATGAATATTAGAATTTAACCATGTCTCTGTAAATGCCAGCACATCGTATTCATTATCACTTGTAGCAGAGAAAACCTGATTCGTCTTAGTCCTTAGTCCTCGCACGTTTTGATAGTAGACACGTAAATTTTTATTACCATTGGGCTGATTTAGTTTAAATTCGTGGTACATCCTTTAGCAGTTTGTGCTACTGGAACAATCTGAGGAACGTTATGGATGTATTTTATTGTAAGGTTTTCCCCACTGTTGTTTCTGTTATTCAATTCCATGCGTAGTTGTTTCAAATGGTTTAGTTGTCTAGGAGTCTTATCATCACGAATTATAACATTAGGAAACCGAGATGTTTTTAATGCAGACTTCTTACGCAGAACCAAACGAACGGTTTCTATATTATTAAATCTAACTTTCAGTAATCTTGGTTTGTTTTGAATTGGTTTACCTATGCGCACCACATTTAGGTCAATTTTATGCATTCTGGCGTTCGTAGATACAAGAAAACTGTTAAAATTCTTCAGAAACGTCACTTTTGAAATGTTTTCTTGTACTTTTAAGCCAATCAGATACCCTACGGGCTCGGAAAGTGCAACGAAACCATCAAATTTTAGCTAGAAACTGTATTTTTGTCGATTTTTATTGAATTTGAACTATATTTCAACGTTTTTTGATGGTTCTGAGCCACCAAACACACTTAAAGCATGCAGAATCGACTCAGAATAGGAAAAGGAGACGTTTAGGTCAATTTTATGCATTCTGGCGTTCGTAGATACAAGAAAACTGTTAAAATTCTTCAGAAACGTCACTTTTGAAGTGTTTTCTTGTACTTTTAAGCCAATCAGATACCCTACGGGCTCGGAAAGTGCAACGAAACCATCAAATTTTAGCTAGAAACTGTATTTTTGTCGATTTTTATTGAATTTGAACTATATTTCAACGTTTTTTGATGGTTCTGAGCCACCAAACACACTTAAAGCATGCAGAATCGACTCAGAATAGGAAAAGGAGACGTTTAGGTCAATTTTATGCATTCTGGCGTTCGTAGATACAAGAAAACTGTTAAAATTCTTCAGAAACGTCACTTTTGAAGTGTTTTCTTGTACTTTTAAGCCAATCAGATACCCTACGGGCTCGGAAAGTGCAACGAAACCATCAAATTTTAGCTAGAAACTGTATTTTTGTCGATTTTTATTGAATTTGAACTATATTTCAACGTTTTTTGATGGTTCTGAGCCACCAAACACACTTAAAGCATGCAGAATCGACTCAGAATAGGAAAAGGAGACGTTTAGGTCAATTTTATGCATTCTGGCGTTCGTAGATACAAGAAAACTGTTAAAATTCTTCAGAAACGTCACTTTTGAAGTGTTTTCTTGTACTTTTAAGCCAATCAGATACCCTACGGGCTCGGAAAGTGCAACGAAACCATCAAATTTTAGCTAGAAACTGTATTTTTGTCGATTTTTATTGAATTTGAACTATATTTCAATGTTTTTTGATGGTTCTGCGCCACCAAACACACTTAAAGCATGCAGAATCGACTCAGAATAGGAAAAGGAGACGTTTAGGTCAATTTTATGCATTCTGGCGTTCGTAGATACAAGAAAACTGTTAAAATTCTTCAGAAACGTCACTTTTGAAGTGTTTTCTTGTACTTTTAAGCCAATCAGATACCCTACGGGCTCGGAAAGTGCAACGAAACCATCAAATTTTAGCTAGAAACTGTATTTTTGTCGATTTTTATTGAATTTGAACTATATTTCAACGTTTTTTGATGGTTCTGAGCCACCAAACACACTTAAAGCATGCAGAATCGACTCAGAATAGGAAAAGGAGACGTTTAGGTCAATTTTATGCATTCTGGCGTTCGTAGATACAAGGAAACTGTTAAAATTCTTCAGAAACGTCACTTTTGAAGTGTTTTCTTGTACTTTTAAGCCAATCAGATACCCTACGGGCTCGGAAAGTGCAACGAAACCATCAAATTTTAGCTAGAAACTGTATTTTTGTCGATTTTTATTGAATTTGAACTATATTTCAACGTTTTTTGATGGTTCTGAGCCACCAAACACACTTAAAGCATGCAGAATCGACTCAGAATAGGAAAAGGAGACGTTTAGGTCAATTTTATGCATTCTGGCGTTCGTAGATACAAGAAAACTGTTAAAATTCTTCAGAAACGTCACTTTTGAAGTGTTTTCTTGTACTTTTAAGCCAATCAGATACCCTACGGGCTCGGAAAGTGCAACGAAACCATCAAATTTTAGCTAGAAACTGTATTTTTGTCGATTTTTATTGAATTTGAACTATATTTCAACGTTTTTTGATGGTTCTGAGCCACCAAACACACTTAAAGCATGCAGAATCGACTCAGAATAGGAAAAGGAGACGTTTAGGTCAATTTTATGCATTCTGGCGTTCGTAGATACAAGAAAACTGTTAAAATTCTTCAGAAACGTCACTTTTGAAGTGTTTTCCTGTACTTTTAAGCCAATCAGATACCCAACGGGCTCGGAAAGTGCAACGAAACCATCAAATTTTAGCTAGAAACTGTATTTTTGTCGATTTTTATTGAATTTGAACTATATTTCAACGTTTTTTGATGGTTCTGAGCCACCAAACACACTTAAAGCATGCAGAATCGACTCAGAATAGGAAAAGGAGACGTTTAGGTCAATTTTATGCATTCTGGCGTTCGTAGATACAAGAAAACTGTTAAAATTCTTCAGAAACGTCACTTTTGAAGTGTTTTCTTGTACTTTTAAGCCAATCAGATACCCTACGGGCTCGGAAAGTGCAACGAAACCATCAAATCTTAGTTAGAAACTGTATTTTTGTCGATTTTTATTGAATTTGAACTATATTTCAACGTTTTTTGATGGTTCTGAGCCACCAAACACACTTAAAGCATGCAGAATCGACTCAGAATAGGAAAAGGAGACGTTTAGGTCAATTTTATGCATTCTGGCGTTCGTAGATACAAGAAAACTGTTAAAATTCTTCAGAAACGTCACTTTTGAAGTGTTTTCTTGTACTTTTAAGCCAATCAGATACCCTACGGGCTCGGAAAGTGCAACGAAACCATCAAATTTTAGCTAGAAACTGTATTTTTGTCGATTTTTATTGAATTTGAACTATATTTCAACGTTTTTTGATGGTTCTGAGCCACCAAACACACTTAAAGCATGCAGAATCGACTCAGAATAGGAAAAGGAGACGTTTAGGTCAATTTTATGCATTCTGGCGTTCGTAGATA